CTCTCAGTTTCTCCCCAGCCCCTGGCAATCTCTGACCTGCCTTCGGTCCCAGCTGGGGACATTTCCCATGAACAGGGCACATGGCACCTGTGTCCTCTGTGGCCAGCCTCTTCACTTAGGATTGTACTTGGGAGGCTATGTTGGTGGGGGTGCTGGGTGTTGGTTTTTTTTAAAGCAAATGTCTAAATAAATAGATAAAAGCAGGCGTCTCTCAGCCTACCCCTCCTCTCCCCCTCACATGGGTTCATCACCTGCTCAAGTGGCCCCTGTCTGTGGAAGGTGGGACGTGCATGGGACATTTGGAAACCGTGCTAAATCCTGCCTGAGGGTCTGGATGCCCCCCACACCTGCCACTGGTCCTCTGAGTAGGTGACCTCTTCTGCTCCCTCCACACTTCAACACCCCTTGCTTTTTCCTTCGCCCTCCCTGTCTGTTCTCAAAGTTGCCGTTGCTCCGTGGAAAGACAGGCCCCAGCGCAGCCTGTGAAGAGCAGCCTGTCCCTCCAGTCAGGAAGCTCGGAGGGACAGCTGTGGGCTCAGTTCTTCTCCCCCATCGTTTTGTCCGGAAGCAGCATCTACAACGAGTTTAATTATGCAATTAAAGTCATTTTCCTGGGCTGAACAAATATTTACAGCATATTTTGCTGTAAATTGCCTCGCCTGGAGAAGAGTCCTGCCATTCCGCCTGGCAAAGGCGCACGCATCTGCATATCCCATTACCCAGGGGCTCCCAGCCCAGACGGTCTGCGGCGTGGGCCGCGCACCCCCAGGAAGCAGCCTCAACCCACAGACGCTGGCAGGTGTCAGCGAGGCAAATGTGTTCCTGGCCCCACTCCGGTGCTACTGTGGACCGAATGACGTCCGCCACTCCTCTGCGGCGGCCCTAAGTCCCAGCTCTGAGCCTCAGAGAAACCTCTGAGTTTGTCCTGCTGCGGAGAGGCCCAGATGGCCGAGAGAACATGGCGTGCGGCGAGGGCTCTGTAATCATCAGCCCCGCATGAGCTGTGCGCTGGCGGCTCTTCCTGTAATCCAGGTGACGGTCCTAGAGGGGCCTTAACAAGAGCCTCTCCCCAGATCCCCGCTCTGCTGAGCTCCTGTGCCAACATGAGCAGGAAAAAAACCCAGGACCGTGGCAAAATCACCTGTTTCGCTTTGCTCCACTTGAGAACAAGTTTCTGTCCCAAGCCCCCCATGCTCCCCATGGACAAGACCTGATGGCTGTCCAGGGAGGTTGAGCCAGGGTCTTCTCAGTGTAGGGGACGCCCCTGGCCCTGCCAAGCTGCCTGGTTTGCCGCAGAGTCCTGGGGGGCACTTGTAGGGCACAGGGGAGGGCTGTTGGGGCCACCTAGGGACGACTCCCGAGCAGGGTGGGAGCCCCTCAGCCGTGTGGGGAGTCTGGGGGCCTCAGGGAGGAGGATTCATCAGGGCAGCAGATCTTCACCACCTGGTGGTGGTGGTGGGGGGGGTCTTCCAGCTTCTTAACCTGTGGCCCTGCCATACCGGATGCCAGCCTTGGAGGGAGTGAGGCACGGTGGTCTCTCCACCTTGCTCTTGGTGGCCATTCCCCTGGCCCTCCTGCCAGGCCTGTTTAGGTCATCTCACGCCCACCCCTGCTCTCTTCTCCAGCCACCGGGCACTGATGGGCCCCTGGGGGGAGGGTTCCTGCGTTCAATACCTGCACTCGTGGTGACACCAGGGGTCTTGCTGACACCCCCAGGCCAGAGGCCAGCTGCCTGGACTCCCCAAAACCACTGTGGTTACCGTCCCGTGCTGTCTTCTTTCAGCGCTCGCCTGGACAGACACGCAGAACCCCACCGTGCGCTCATCGTCTACCCGCACACGGGACGGAGTGGCAAATATTCCATGTCAATAAATGATCTTCTGCTGAGTCATTTTACATGGCTGCCCAGTTCTCTATCCTGGAGGAACTACAGTTTCTCTAGGAGCACTGAGTTGGCTCCTATATGGGGCCATGAGGAAGAGCATTCTTGGTAACAAGAATTCTTACGGTGACGTCTTTGTGCCCAGCCTTGATTTTGCCCTAAGGACACAAAAGGCAGAATGACTAGACCTGAACTCGGGACCTTTGGCTGAAGTCTTGGGGGGGGGGGGGGGGTGAAGGGGCCTGCCCCTGGGGCAGGAGTGCTGCTGGCGATATCCCTGATTGGCTGTGCTCCCCACTCTCCCTGACATCCCCAGTGGCTCTTGCACTTGGGTGGAGCCCGCAGGGAAGGGCGTTCCCACCCCGGCCCATGCTGGTCACCAGCACCTTGGCTGCTGTGGGAGAAAGGGGGCTCCTGTCCCAGCTGCACTGAAGACCTGGAATGGGATAAAAATGAGACGAGCCACCCTCCCTGCCCACCGCAGGCCCAGTCCCGTCCTGGCCATATCATTTGATCTTCTTGGCAGTCCTGAGATGGTCCACATATTCTCATGCCCATTTTACAGCTGAGGAAACCAAGGCTCAGAGTTTCGGGCAGTTACCTCCGACACACAGAGAGGAAGGCCGGACCCTGATTCCGTCCAGACCCTCTGGACGGACCCAAGGCCTGTGCTGAGCTGAGCTGTTTCCTTTCACCCTTGGGGGTCCCCAGGGGATGTTACTGGCCCTGGGGCAGAGGTGAGTGAGGAGGGCCTGCTGGCCAGGGCAGGGTGCCCCCTGGGGAAAAGGAGCAGGGTGGAGGGAGGCCACAGGCCACAGCCCTTGCCCATGGGGGGGCTCACTTAGGAACATCACTGCAGCAGCTAAGAAGGACAGCAGAGGCCCTGCTGTAGCTCAGGGCTGCACAAAGGGAGTCCGCGAGGCCCACGGCCCACCGTCTGCACAGGTCCATGTGGTGTGGGACACTCAGTGTGTGGGAGGTCCAGGGCCCTGGGACAGGGTAGACTCCAGGAGAGAGGGAGGAGGGAGAGGCCGGTCACTGTAGTCCTGGTTCAGTATCTGTGTGGCCCTCCTGTGTCCTGGTCTTCACACGGGGTCCCACAGCCCGGGAGCTCCTGGGGATCAGGGGTAGAAGATGTCAGCCGGTGTTGGGCTCAGGGTCGTGTGGTCCCCTGGGGAGGGCTGGCTCTATCCCTGCTCCAGGTGACAAGCGGCTCACCCTCTGAGCCTCCCGACCCCAGGCTGTCTTCCCACTTGCAGGCACAACAGGAAGATGCTGGTCCACGAGGCCCTAGCTTCCTGGTTATTGAAACCAGAAATCTCAGCCTAAAAACCAAGACCTGGAGACAGATGGAGGGCTCAGAGGTGTGCTTAGGGAAACCGAGTCAGCGGCCAATGACAAGGGGTAAGTGGCGAGTTCTTTGTGTCCCCAAATCTCTTATTGTGTCTGAGTCAGCTCCTAAGCTGTCCCCAGGCGTCCAGGGCCTGGTGGCAACATGGTCACCCTGGAGGCCAGGCAGGCCCTGCTGTGTAGGAGCACTAGCAGTTCGGGATCGGCCAGCTTTGCCCCCAGAGCCAGTGGAGAGAGCCGAGGGGCCAGGATAGGATGCCAGGGCAGGGCACGCACTGCAACAAACTGCACCTGTTTTTCAGGGCTCAAGGAATTGGCCCAAAGGCCCCCAGGGGTGGCTGTGGGGCCTGGAGCCCAATCCAGACAGCCTCGGGCCAGCCGCCTCCTCTTCTCTCTCCTTCACACATTCGGTGTTGGAGTCGGAGAGCATGTCCAGAGAGAGTTCCGGAAGCGGAATGAGGGATGGAGTCTGCAGCCACTGATCTAAATTAGCACCGCAGAGAGCATTTCATTCCATTAAGTGGTTTTTCCCCATCACTGGTTTTGGTCTTACAAAGTGCCAATTTATCTGAGGAGCCAGATCCAGTCATCCATCCCTTAAAGGGGCAGGACTGTGTCCCAGCCCTGGTGGACCCCTCTGGATCTGTTTCCCCACCTGCAAACCTGGGGTGATCTCGGCTTCGCTGTCCAAGTGGAGGCTTTGGGATGACCACCAGGAAGGAGCACGTTGGTGGGGGGGGGACCTGAGAACAGGCCTGGGGTGTGGTGCAGGGTGAAGGCAGAACCCTGCCCACCCCAGAGGGAAGAACAGCCAAGGGGAGCAGTGTTTATCTGCAGACAAATGCAATATAAAGTTTATGGTTTGTTTGGAGTGTTCTGGAACACCCAATAAACCCCAGGAGCAGAGGAGACCAGGCCAGGTCCCGAGGCCCACCTGGGGCCAACCCATGCCACCTCCCTTCTCAGGCAGCCCAGTGTGTAGCCACAGTCCACAGTATGCAGAAGGAACTTAACCAGTGCTCTCAAAGCAGAGCTCCCCTTGGCCTTTCCTTCTGAAAGGCATTTCTCTCCCACGGATGTCATAGTGGGAAAGTATTGCTTAAAAAAAAAAAGAGTCAAAAGAAAAGAGGCTTTGAAATTGTTCACAATGCAATTCTTAGGGACAGCTGAGTCCCCAGACCAAATTTTTTTCCAAAAGTTCACGTTAAACACTTCAAGTACAGCCCTGAAGCGGCACTGCTATTCCTAGCCATAGGGCGCCAACTAGTGGCTCCAGCAGATCCTGCAAGCAAAGCACAGCCTCGTTCCCATCCTCTATGCTCCCTCCTCCCACCACCTCCTCCCTGGTCTCCTCCTGGTCTGCAGTTCACCTGCTTCTCAAAGTGGTTCTGTGCGCCCCCACCTTCATGGGAATGGAGGTGGGAATGATTAAGAAGGATTCAATCGGAGCTCTCTCTTTGGATGGTTTAGGTGAGAGAAACCAAGCAAGTCGAATCCATCTTTCCTATAAAAGTTTATTGTGTAATCTTTTCCGAGAAGTGGTAAGGGTGCTGATTACAATTACATAAAGGTAAGGAACAACAGTATACAAAAATAATTTAAACACACACATTAGTAACAAAGCAACATTTCTTTCCACTAACAACTAGGAGGTAATCTTGCCCACGATTTTTCGAAAGGTATTAAATATGTTTTAGATAACAGTACAAATACACAATGCACAAATACACAATGCTCACACACACATGTACACATATATACAGCTCAAGTGTTTTCTTCTGTGCATTCCAGCTAACTGGTATAGCTAACGTGGAAAAACTTAACAACTAGATGCCCAGATGACCTTAAAGTTGAACAAAACATGCATTGGATGCAATTTTTGGAGACTTGCTAAGATTTCTCCCCCAATCTCCCTGATTCCTAGCCTTGTCTCTGTGTTTTTCATCTGAACAATTACATGTGCCTTTCTGATCTGCTCAACAGTGTGCTCATTGTGCTGTTGCTGGTGCCGATTTGGGAAGACTCACTTTCTCTTGCTCTGAGTGCATCCTATGGAATGGAAAGGGATGATTGTAAAGCTAAAGCCTTTAGCTTCTGATTACATCTGGCTTATTCTTTGTTTTAGTGCAAGGACCTGTCTGATGATTTCGTAGGGGAGGTCAGCATTGACTTGGTCTTCCAAGTATCTCTCGATGTCTTCCACTTCCTTCTCCCAGAACTCCTTGGAGATGTCGAAGAGCTCCTCCAGGTCGATGTCCCCCAGGCCTTGCAGGTTCAGGGCATCCTTCTTCGGGATGTAGCCAATGGGTGTGAGCTGGGCGCTGTCTTCCCCATTGATCCGGTTGAACATCCACTCGAGCACCCTGGAGTTCTCCCCAAAGCCTGGCCAGAGGAACTTGCCTTCCTTGTTTTTCCGGAACCAGTTAACGTGGAAGATCTTGGGCAACTTGGCTGCTGGGCGCTGGGCCATGCTCAGCCAGTGAGCCAGGTATTTGCCAAAGTTGTAGCCAAAAAAGGGCCTCATGGCAAAAGGGTCGTGCATGATTATTTTGCCTATTAAAGAAAGGGGTCCTTTGGTAAGTAATGTGTCCAAAAGCTTAATAGGGACCGTCATTTACTGTGAATATAGCATGCCTACTTCTCTCTCTTCCTGCCCCCGTCTTTCTCTCCACAAACAGACACAGAGTGGGGGCAAAGGGGGGGCTGCCCAGAGCGCTAATCTCCCTCCATGTGGTTTCAAGTCCTGACTTTGTTTACCTTTGTGCTCTGCTGCCGCTGTGGCCTCTGATCGCATGGCAGCGCCCACGAGCACACCATGCTGCCAGCTGAGGGCTTCGTAGACCAGAGGGACACCTTGAGAAGGACAGAAAACTCCTTCAAGCCTTTGACATTCAGACTCTAAGACCAGCGATGTCATCGCACACGTGAAATGACTTGGCAAAACGGCGTCTTTTTAGTTGAGCAGCTATACAGAAAACTGCTAAGGCACCGCTGTACCAACTGGGGCCACAAAAGAATCTGTAAACTCCAATCCAGCCACCTTAGGTCAGAGATCCAGGAAGCCAACGAGTTGGCTCTACATTGGAGCTTGCAAGTTATTCTGGATTTGGGGAAAGAAAGCTCCAGCTCATTGGCACCCTCTGACAAGGTCATGGAAAAGGAGAGATTCCAACTGTGCTTCAGTTCCCAAAACCCCGTGCCCCCGCCTGAGCAGAGGAGAGCTCACCTGCAGGTCTGCGGCCTCCAAAAATGATGCCCTCGATGGGCACGCCTTCCGGAGACTCCCAGGCAGCGTCGATGATGGGGCACTGCCCGGCAGGAGTGCAGAACCTTGAGTTGGGATGGGCACAAGGTTCCCCTACAAAAAGAGAGAGAGGCCCTTTAGCATCTGGCCCAAACAGTCACCTGCAGCCCAGAGCGCACAGCCTCCAGAGGGGGCTCACCATCCTGCGGGCTCCACTGCTTGTTCTTCCAGGAGGTGATGGTGACTCCCGCGGCCAGCGGCTCATCAATGCCTTCCCAGTAAACGCCCCCGTCACTGGTCTCGGCCACGTTGGTGAAGATGGTGTTCTTCTGGATGGTCTTGATGGCATTGGGGTTTGTCTTCACGGAGGTGCCAGGAGCAACACCAAAAAAACCATTTTCTGGGTTGATAGCCCTTAAGTTACCTGCACAAGTCCAACCAGAAAAGCGGTGGTAAATCCCAAGCCGAGCAGCCTGGCATCTGCCCGCTAGTTTCCGTACCAAGCTCCCTGACCCCTTTCCCTCCTTAGACGACACGCCTGTTCTCATTGGGCATCTCTGAGACTGTGCAACTCTGAGACTCTCACAACTCTTTCTTCCTCTTCCATTTTCCACCAACTTATTAAATGTTTGTATATAAGCGATCAGCCATACACGGCCCATTTGACCCAGATTGTTAAAGGATGCTGGGCTGGCAGAGGACAGAGTTCTGAGGTTTCGCAGCCTCTGAACTAACTGAACGACACACCCAACCCTGGATTTGGGAGAGCTGGCCATGTTTGAGGTCGATAACCCACAGGAGTCCACTTTTTATCACCGGTTGGGCCCAAGACAGTCACCTTGGTTGTCAAACTTCATCCAGGCGATGTCGTCGCCCACACACTCTATCTTCCACCCCGGGAGGGAGGGGTTCATCATGGCCAGGTTGGTCTTCCCACAGGCGCTGGGGAAAGCTGCCGCCAGGTACTTCTTCTCACCCGCAGGGTTGGTTATGCCCAAGATCTGCAGGAGACAAGGTTCTTCACTGAGGTCTCTGTTCTTTACTACCCTGAGGTCTAGGGATGTGCCTAGAAGTTCCCAAGGGTAGACCCTCAAGATCTATCTCCGTTCAAAAGAATGAAGTCCACAGGATCTCCATGGTGGCCATTGTGCCCGAGGTCCTTCAGCAGGGACATAGACTGTGGAGTTCATAATTACTTAACAAGTTTCCCTGTCTATGAATCTCCCACGCAGACAGGAGACTGAACGGACTTGCATCTGCCACCCCAGGCCTCCCAGCACGGCCAGGGGACGTCCCCACCTACCAGCATGTGCTCTGCCAGCCAGCCTTCCTCCTTGGCCAGCCGGCTGGCTATCCTGAGAGCAAAGCACTTCTTCCCCAGCAGCGAGTTCCCGCCGTACCCACTTCCGAAGGAGACGATCTCTCTGCGGTCCGGCAGGTGGGCGATGAGCGTCAGCTCTGGGTTGCAGGCCCAGTTGTTGACCAGAGGCTCTGCAACAGGCGCAGCCGCGTCAGCGTGTGAATGTGCGGAGCGCAGGAGCTTACTTTTTATCAACTCTCGATTCTGAAGTGGCATGCTTACTTTTGAGAGGCAGGGGACACCCCACGGAATGGAGACACTTGATGAACTCCCCGTCGCCCAGGGCCTCAAGGACAGGCGTGCCCATCCGCGTCATGATCCGCATGCTGGCCACCACGTAGGGCGAGTCCGTCAGCTGGATGCCGATCTTGGCCAGCGGGGAGCCCAGGGGCCCCATGCTGAATGGAATGACGTACATGGTCCGACCTGGGGAGGGGCCAGTGGGGACGGTGAGCAATGACCTTGGCCTGCAAACATACCCGGCATCATTTTCCGCAGGAATCTTTGCTATGGCCTCCCACCATCAATATCACCCTCATGGCCACCAGCCCCAAGGTTTAGCAAAGTCTACGGCAAAGTGGACAAAAATGCCCAGATCCATGTTTTCCCAGGCTACGATCAGGCTCGGCCAGGCTGCGTGAAATCTACACGTGTGGAACCCTGTAGGGTTCACGCGAGACGTCTGAGAACAGAACGGGGCACGTTTCACACAGAGTGGGAGACACTGAGGCGGGGGCGGGGCTCCCTTGCTGTCGCGATCACCACCAGGGCAGGTGTCATGAGGACAGGCGTGCTGTCAATTTGCCCTGTTGGGAGAATGGCCTGCTCACCTTTCATGCACCCTGGGAACCTGGCATTGAAGGCTTTCTCAAAGTCCTCTTCTGACATCCAGCGACCCAGCTGGCTGAGGCCGGTTTTGGGGATGGGCACCGTGTCTCTTTGCTCTTGGGTAATGATAACTGTCTTGCTTTCAATCCTGGCCACATCCCTGGGGTCAGTGAGAGCCAACCAGCTGCAAAAGTCCCAGGGTCCCCTTCAGTCAAGCACCGTGAGGAACAGACCCATCTCGCATTGTCACATTTCTCCCACACCCAGCAGGACACGGAGCACACTGGCACGTTGTAGAAGTGCGGTGGCCAAGCCAGCCGGCACCTTGTCAGGAAGACGCTGACTAGGCCACTAGCTAGGGGTGGGGACTGTCTTTCATCATGATCCGGAATCTAGGCTGCAAAGAGCATTTGCCTGCCCAGCTCAATTAGGGCCTCGGGGGCTCCACTAGGTCCTCCCGCCTCGATGGTTCTGACCATTTTATTAAGGTTCTAAAGCATCTGCAGCCCCTGAGAGGGCTTCATTCACCTCTTTCCACTGATGCCAAGGAGAGGGCGGGGTGGGCCACAGGGGGGGCTTACCAGTTGTCGTATTTGCTCAGCTTCCTGATGATGCCCTCCTCCTGCATGCGGCCCAGCAGCCGTCCGTTCTCCTCCTCGGAGCCATCGCAGATGTGGATGTGCTCCGGCTGGCACAGCTTGGCGCTGCTCTCCACGAATTCCCTCACCGCCTGGGGCAGGCTGTCCAGGTTGCCCTGGACGACTTTGGCTGAGAAGTCCAGGCCGTTGTGCAGCTGAGGAGGCATTTCTGCAGAGCTGTGGTAAGGGGCACAAATGCCAGGGTCACCTGAAACAGAAAACAGCCTTCCTGGACAAAAGGACCAGGAGACGCCTGCTGGAACGTCCGATGGACCGTGGGTGGGTTGCACATGGCCAGAGAGTCACGGCCCCGAGGAAAACTGAGTTAGTGTTGTTGCTGGAATTTTTAGCAAGGTGCGTAAGAAAGCTCGACCCACCTGCCTTCCTTTTGGGTGGTCTCCGTCAGATCCAGGGTGGCTCCTCCGTGCTCTTCCCGTGAGTTCCCAGTGGGAAGGCCGTGCTTGGCGGTGGAGCCTCCTGCCTTAAATACCGTGGAGGACGGCCCTGCCCCTCTGATACACCCAGGGAGGCTCGCCTGTGACGTCGGGGGCAGGTCTTTGGATCAGCGCCACGGTCAGGGATGTTTTGGTCCAAGTCACCATAATAAATCCAGGGAGATAATCATTGAGCAGTTGTTAATGAGTGTTGGGAGGCCTCGGGCCGAGACCAGCCACAGTGAGTCCTTACACAACTTCTGATCAACTAAACTTTGACCCTGTTCACTGCTGATGCAAAACATACCCACCCTTTCTTTGACAGGCAGGTGGGGTCAAGGACAAGGCTGGCCCGGGAAACTCCTGGACCTCAAGTGTTGTTGGCAGCACATTTTGTGTGCCAACAGTCACCGGTTGACAAAACACTACAGCTGTGAGATGTCAACCCCACAGCCAAAGCTCATGAGAAGAAACACCCTGTGGCCAGTGTGCAACTCCTTGGCAAAGATCTGCACCTCTGAGCTGATTGGGTGCTGAGGACCTTATTGAGTGCGTGCTATATACCCTTGCCACCCCCAAATAGGAAGTCCAGGAGGGCCGGGTTTCTTCTTATTTGCTCATGTTTGTATCCACAGCACCTGGCATATAGTAGTCACCGAATGCATACACATCAAACCCTATTCTTGGTGCTTTACATCAACTCATTACCACCAGCCAAGGTGCCATTTGGAAAAATCCTATGTACTGACAAGGACACTGAAGGAGAGAGGTCCAGTAGGCTGGCAGGAGGCAGGGAGGCTGTGAACACAAGCAAGCTGAGCTCCAGCACGTCACTCTGCATGAGGAATCCTTACCTCTTCTGGAACCTTCCATATATTCCCCCAAAAAGTGCTGGGCTAGGCATGGTCACTCTGGCAGCCTCGCAGGCACATTTCACTTCCCTTGCAAGTCTGAGTCTTGGGCGTGGAGGGGGCTTGGTGGTTTTGCTGGAGTACACTTAAGCAATGAGACCTTTATAACAGTTGCAAAGAATTTGCTTTGCAAGCTGTCAGAACCTCAGCGCAATTTAATGCATCTCAAGGCTGTTTGCTGGGTTTTAAGAGCACTGGGTGAGAAGTCAGGAGGGGGGACCAGCTCCCAGGCCTGACTCCCCCAGGCAGACAGGGGTTCCACGGGAGCCCCCTACCTTAGGTGAGGCAGGGTGGAGACTTGGCTCACCCCCATGGGGTGTGGTGTGACTCAGGCTTGTAAAGAGCCTCAGCAAATTCAAGGCCCTGGGAATGGCCAGCTGGACCTATAGCCCTAATGAGCCGATCCCAAGGGCGTGGCCCACAGCCCAGCAGAAGGTCGACCCACATCTCCACTCCCACCAAAATCATCAACCTGCAGCTGGGTTTTGCTTCTTCAGGTTTTGGGGGGGCTTTCGGTGCAAACACAGCATGGGGTGACTTGTTGGCATGAGGTTACTTCACCTCCAATTCACTGGCATTTATTACTAGAGGTGCCATCATCGGCCACAGGGAACGCTGCTGTGTCTACGCCCAACAGGAAGTCACGCTTGGCTGCACAGGGCCCTTCCTTAGCACCGCACCTGGGATCAGGCGTTCCAATGCACAGCCACGGGTGGCGTGTGCCTGCGGGTTGGTGCATGCGGTTCACCCCACGGACTTGGTGCGCTCCCATTTTGTGGACGGGACTGTAATGGGCTGGTTCCCTGGAAGACCTCAGAGATGGAAAATCAAAACAGAAAAGCAGAGCCTGGAGTTTGGAATGTTCCACACAAATCCCAGGTGTTTGTTATGAGTCTTCCAGGAGGGACACAGCTAGTTCCATTCAAATGTAGGTCTGGTGAGTCACCATGACCTTCATCCCATGTGAATGACCCACCTGGGCAGTGCAGAGGGGTGGCCTCAATCTCCTGCCACTCTCCCTTGTCAATGTTAAAAAGCAAATATTGGGCTACAAACTTACCTCAAAGTACAGAGTTCTCTGGAAGAATGAGACACAAATAGATGGTAGGGTTTTGAGGACACATGGGTGAAAGTATGGGCAAAGGTCCCTTGTCCCCAGTTGATGGCATCCTGGGGCCCACGGCTTCCCCTGTCCTTCTAAGGGGCTTCAGGCAGCCTCAGCCTCCCACTCTCCCACTGGACCGGAGTCTTGGTCGCATGTGAACACCAAGAGTAAGTCCTCACGGTGGGTCTTCAGCTGCAGGGACCCGGAGTGGACGCGGACTGCGTCCTGGGTGGGGGATCTGGGGGCTCCCACTGGGTGTGAGCTTCAGCTGTGGTTTCTGGGAACAAGGCCACCGAGATCCCCTAGCTTTTCAGGGGCTACTCAGACACGTGCTTCTTTAGGTCCAAGCTCGTGTAAAAAGCTGATCCCAGACACAAAACTGCCCTGGGAAAGAGGAGAAAGAAAACCAGTCCCTGGAAAAGGTGATCTGAAGACTAAAACGGACTCCTTCCCTGCTCCTTCCCGCAGCTGCTGCGTGGCCTGTCGGGGAGCCACCTCGCACCTCCATGCCAGCTGCATCCTCCACGTGGGGCGATGAGGTCCTAAAAGGTGAAGGGGTTGTTTTGAATCCAATTTGCAAAAATCACATTTCTCTAGGAATCCTCAACACAAACATTTTTTAAATGTGCACTAGGTACCCAGCTTTGGGAATGAAGAGGATCGAAGTGGTGGGCTTCCTCTGTATGCCAAAAGGGAACATATTCCATGCTTCTGTCTGATGTAAGCACCTTTATTATCTTTCCCATTTTATAGGTCAGGGACCTGGGGCTCAGGAAAGGAATCACACATATTCACTCAGCAAACACTGGCTGAGCCGCCACAACTGCCATTGAGTTGGTATTTCTCTGGATATAGCCCCAAACTCTGAGCCTGTGACTCTCTTTTCCTTTCTCTACCCTCAGCACTTCACTGTTGAGCACCCATTTTGTACTTCCTGCATACCCACTTCCAGGAGCAGCTTCATGGGGTCATGGGCATGTCCCTCCCTTGGAGTTGCCTGCTCATGGTCACTGTCTTGAAGTCCCTAACAATATCCTCTCTGAGAGTGTGGCACAGGTGGACTACAGAACAGTCACCTGCCTCCTACTGCCCCTCCACCTCCTTGGGACAGGTTTCTGGTCACTTGGTTTCCTGGCCCACCCTGCCTGGTGACCACGGCCATCCTCCATCCCCAGCAGGGGCCTGGGGCTAAGTGGGAGGAGGTCAGGTCAGGCCGTGCTCCTGTGAACATCTGCACTGGCTCCCCTGAGTATGCGGTGTGCCAGGGAGGGCACCGTCAACTGGCAGATCAAGCACCCACGGCTGGTGACCAGACCCTGGGAGAAAGGGGAATGTCTCCTTGTCCCTTTTGAACAAGGAACCTACACTTTCATTTGCTCCTGTTCCCACTGCTGACAGAGCCGTCCTGCACGTCGCGATGCTGAGAACGGTGAGAAGCGTCCCTCAAGGACTGGAGATGGTGCTGGGTGTCTGATGGATCCTCAGCCCACGAGGGTCCACCGAAGAGCACCATGTCCACAGCCAAGGGGACTGTCTCCCAGGTCTCCCAAGCCCCCCAGGCCAGCCCGCTGCTCTCGGCCTTCCTAGCACACGGTGGAGAGGGAGCAGCGGCTGGCAGGGCGCGTCTCCTCCTCACCCACGCAGCGCTGCCACCCGCTCATGTGCCCCAGGCTGTCACAGGGCACCGGGAGAGGAGGGAGACTCAGAAAAGCCTTCAGGTGTGCTCAAGAGGCACCCAGAGACACGGGCAGGGCCTGCCTCGACTCCGGGGGACTCCGACAACCAGAGAAGACGGGGCTGCGCCGGCTCAGCCAAGCCCTTCCCTGGACAGGTGAAGGTCCGAGAGCAATGCTGGCCGCCATCGTCCCCAGTCCGTCTCTCACCCGCAAGACCTGGACACCCTCCTCCACCCCACCCCTGATGGGATGGGCTCTGCCCTCCTGGGGCTGACCACAGAATGGCCCTCTATTCAGGAATCTGGATTCAATGGAAAGCATGGCTCTGGTAAAAGGAAAAAAAAAAAAACAGAAAAGGCCACAGTGACTTCCCAGAAGGTGACAAGAAACAAACTGTGACTATCCCACGCCTGGAGCCAAGGCATTTGCGCAAACCGACCCTGGGTCTCCACGGCTGCCTTGTGCGCCGTGGGCACCGCTGACCACACCGAGGAAGTTTCTGGCACAAGACAACTCTGCTCAGCCCTGTGACGGCCGGCCCCAGAGTCGTCATCTGGGCGATTCAGGTCATCCACCCCAACTGTGTTTGCCGGGGGCAAATATTTAGAGGTTGTGCGTTTACGGGGCCATCGCAGCCTCCCGGCAGGCGGGAGGGGATACTCACAGAGCGGCTCCGGCTCCTGTTTTGGTGCCGCATAGATTCATACAAGTGAAAGGGCCCTTGACAGGTGGCACTTGTCTTGCTGAACACGTTGGGTCTCCTCTGGGGACGGTGACAGTGCTTTGGAACTAGACAGAGGGGTGGGCGGGCAGCACTGGGTGCAGCAGTGCCCCACAGTTGAGCACCTCAAGGGTCCATTTTATGCCGTTCGGCTTTCACCCCAGGGTGCTGCGCAGAAGTCGCCATGCCCGCTGGTCCTCTATTGTGAGGTTGAACAGGTGGGACAGTGTGGTAGGGACATACCAAGCCCACCTAGCACCCAGCCAACCCCCGTGCTGTCCTTTCCATGTCCCCACCCAGCCCTGAGGTCCAGGAAGGTGGCCTCGGGCTGAGGGCTCACCCGGGGGTCCTCCGAGGCTCCAGCAGGTCCCTCCCCCCCCCCCTCCCCCCAGGGTTCTGCTAGCAGAGTTTTTCCAGAGTGAAGAAGGGACAAGGGAATCCAGGAGGAAGGCTCCTGCCCAGTGCGCTAATGAAGTGCGGGTTTTACTGCAAAGATGGGTCTGGAAGACACATTTGGGAAGCGCTCATGTCCAACGTCAGGCCCTCTGGAGGGACCTCTGGAGGGCTCCTTCTCTGTGGTGACCAACCCACGTGACAGCCG